TTTTTTAAGCAAAGGCCCTGTTGTGACAGTTTTTGGAAAGTAACTTGTCAAGAAACATAACTCTTTAATCATAAGAAATGATTTATAATGACTAGGAAATTTGGAAGATAAAAGAAAAGAAAAATCCTCTTTAATTTCATTAAACTATTGCTAAAATTATTTTATGCTTTTTCTTTGTCTTCTAAGAACACACATATACACACTCACGTAATCTCTTAATACAAATCATATAACCTTAAGTGCATTACAGCATAAACAAAAGTTTCCAAATATATAAATGCATATATATATTTTTTACCTACTCTTAGACAACTTAAGGGCTTCCTTGGTGGCATAGTAGTAAAGACTCTGCCTGACAAGCAGGAGATTCAGGTTTGATCTCTGGGTGGGGAAGCTCCCCTGGAGAGGGAAATGGCAACCCACTCCAGTATTCTAGCCTGGTAAATTGCACAGATGGAGGAAACTGGTGGGCTGCAGTCCATGGGGTCGCGAAGAGTCAGACACGACTTAGTGACTAAACAACAATAGCAAGGTAACTTAATCTTGTATTACTCTTAGAAAAACTTTGTTACTCCCTTATTGATGGACATTCAGGTAATTTCTAGTTTTTCTGTTATAAATAATACTACCATAGACATTTCTGTATACTAATCACTGAGCTTATCTGTAATTATTTCCTTAAGAAAGATTTGTAAAAGCTATATTACTGGGTTGAATGAGATGAATATTTAAAAAGTAACATATTGCTAAATTATTTCCCAGAAGAGTTGGCCAATTTACACTCCTATCAGTTGTGTTGATATTCTAGTTTTTACTAGATATCTTGGAAAAGTTGCATTCCTGATTTGCTTTGATTCTTATATTTGCTTCTTTTGTCCTATAAGAATTATATAAGAAAAGAAAATGTAAACTTTTATATACACAGATATTTGAACTACTGAATGTGAAGTCAACAGATCACATAGCTCTGTTACCTAAAGAATTCGAATCCAGTCACTAATGAACTAATATGATTAATTTTTATTTCACTTTTATGTCACATCCAAACGTATTCCATACTACCCATTTTTAAGAGTAATTGCCCTCTTTTCAGTTAGGTAAAGGTAGGCTTTCACTCTGACCTTTATATCCAAAACGAACATAACGACAATGGTTCAACCCCTTTCTCCTCTTTACTGCAAGGGATTCTGAGGTCCAGGGAAGGTAAATTTTTTTGCCAGTGATTAATATCCAGTGAGCAGTGGAGTGTGGCTCAGAATCAACTCCAAGGTGGATTTTTTCCCACACTGTCTCCTCTTTTTTCTTGGATCCATCAACCAAATCTAGGTGCTTTGATATTGAATTTTCTGCTTGGATTATGCCTTCTGACGTAATATTAAGGATTTCAAAGGCAAATCTGCCACTTATGCCACCTGGTTATCTGTGATTTATCTCCGGAGTCGTGATCTTTTTTCACTTAGTTTTTTTTCCCCCTCCCTTATGTTTGCCTTTTAGGAGAATTTCACTCAAATTTCTATGAATTAGTTCATGTAAATTATTTTCCAAAACAGGTTATCATTTCATATAAAATTTCTCCTAGATGGAATTTTAGGTTTCTCAAACACTAGAAGATGATAAGACAAAGAGCATGAAGCCGTATTAAGCTATTCAATTCTTGAAATGGACATAGGGTTAAGGATTGTATATCTTGCGTTTTGGAAACGTTTTTTCTGTTCCAGTCATAAACTCTAAGGTAGAGTTGCCTTATCTTCCTTGACTCAGTTTCTCCATGTGCGAAAAGGTGATAACAGTCCTCAGTGGCTAGGGAAGACTTTTGCGAGATTTCTTTGTTTTTGGAAGCATGTAAGGTTCAAGTTATTCCTCTATTGTACACGGGAGCTGTCATAGGCATTGGTGAAAATCACACTGATCGGTGGGAAACAAAAACACTTGATGATTTGTAGGTATTTGGGGAGAGTGTTCAAGAATTTGTGGCTGAAATTCATCTTCTTGGAAGAGAAGCGAGAGATGGAGAAAGAGATTCTAAGCATGCTCTAACAAAGCTCCTTTGAGCTGTTCCTGGCAGCGGCTGGGTGTGGCAGGCTTTCCCCAGTCAGAATGCTGAGTAATCAATGCATAATATTTGCAATGATTCAACCTACAGGTAAGAAAAGCACCAACAAAACAGTCTCCTAGGTTATTAAATATTTGAGCTGATGACTATTTTTGTTGAGCTAGAGGAAACTATTGCTCGATAAAATTGTACAATGAATGGATGCTGTATTTCTTTAAGCTGTATTTCTTCTCTCCACCCCCCACTAACATCTATTCTTTTAAATACAAAGTCAACAACAAGGTTTTTGTGGCAAATCAAAGAGAGTAAAGAAAGTTATTGGGAGTTATAGATTATTGGGATGTCCCTGGTGGTCCAGTGGTTAAGACTCTTCTTCCACTGCAGGGGGCACAGGTTTGATTCCTGGTAGGGGAAGTTCCACATGCTGTATGCTATGGCCAGAAAAAAGAAAATTATAGATTCTTTTTGGAGTTATAAAACAAACACTTTCCCCCACAAATGGGTATATAATTTCCCACTAAATATTTTTAAAGAAACATTTATTTCCAAGAATTAAGAGTTATATTTGGGCTTCCCTAGGTATTACTGAGAGTCCCTTGGACAAGATCCAACCAGTCCATCCTAAAGGAGATCAGTCCTTTGAAAGGAGATCAGTTCATTGAAAGGACTGATGCTGAAGCTGAAACTCCAATACTTTGGCCACCTCATATGAAGAGTTGACTCATTGGAAAAGACCCTGATGCTGGGAGGAATTGGGGGCAGGAGGAGAAGGGGATGACAGAGGATGAGATGGCTGGATGGCATCACCGACTCGATGGACATGAATTTGAGTAAACTCCAGGAGTTGGTGATGGACAGGGAGGCCTGGTGTGCTGTGATTCATGGGGTCACAAAGGGTCGGACACGACTGAGCGACTGAACTGAACTGAACTGAGGTATTGCTGAATTCCTGTCTCTGGAAGTGTTTCTGCCAAGGTTAGACAAGCCCCGAACAGGAGTATTGTAGAGATAATTTAGACTTAGAGAGAGTGGACAAAGATTTCTGATTTAAATGCAAGCCTCTTGAATCCTTTGGGTCACAGTAGCAAGCAGGGGCGTTTCCCTGGTGGTTCAGTGACAACGAACAATGCCTGCCAATGAAGGAGACATGGGTTTGGTCCCTGGGTTGGGAAGATCCCCTGGAGAAGGGAATGGCAACTCACTCCAGTATTCTTGCCTGGAGAATCCCATGGACAGAGGAGCCTGGTGGGCTACAGTTCATGGGGTCACAAATAGTTGGACATGACTGAAGCAACTAAACAACAACAGAGCAAGCAGGCTGCAGGTGTTTGGTAAATTACCATAGTAACCTAAATTTGAATATCCTGCACCAGCCTTTTTGTCATTATGATTATTCCCTGACACTGTGCCTGCCTAATAAATAGGCAAAGTGCTGATCACCACCATATGCTATGTGCCAGATACTTCTTACATACTGTCTTTTCATGTACCTGTGTGTCTCATTTTACAGATGAGGAAACTGAGGCTAACGAGATTAAGCACTTTGCCTAGGATTTCTCAGACAATGAATGGTAAGGTAGAGTCATTTTCCAAATTTATGATTTGACTCTTAAAGCCACATTTCCCCACTGCAGCTGAATGGTGTCATTTTCCAGGGGTAACTGGCCAATATCACTCTCTTATGACCTTCTTGCCTCTACTAGTTCCCCTGATGCCTGAAATTCTACTTTCAGAGTTCAACTCATTTAGTTTATGACTTTGACCTGGTTCATAATAAAACACCCAGGGCATGGGGAGAAGGGAAGCTATTAGTCACTCTTAGTCACTCTCATTCATATAGCCAACAAGCATTAGTTGACTGTACATCTATCAAGACCATACCAAGTGTTGGCATTACAAAAATGAATGAGGCTTGGTCCTTACTTCAAGATTCTCATAGTGAGATAGAGGAGATCGTACAATGAAATAGATGATTATGAGACAATGTGGTAAATGAACAAGAGAGAACATCAAATGAGCACAGCAGATAAGAAATTGGCTCAGATTGAGGTCCTTTCCTGAGAACAGATTCAGTTAGGAAGGGAGTGAGTGAGTGAGTGAAGTTGCTCAGTCATGTCCGACTCTTTGCGACCCCATGTACTGTAGCATACCAGGATCCTCAGTCCATGGGATTTTCCAGGCAAGAATACTGGAGTGGGTTGCCATTTCCTTCTCCAGGGGATCTTCCCGACCCAGGGATCGAACCTGGGTCTCCCGCATTGTAGGCAGACGCTTTACCGTCTGAGCCACCAGGGAAGTCAAGCTCCCCGCAAAAGAAGGAGCTGCTGGAAAGCAAGAAAACTCTGGAAAACACAGAGATTTTCGAGCAAAGCTGGGTAATCCTAATCGCCATATTTCATTGGGAGGCCAGTCAACAATTTCTCCCGTCAATCTGGCATTACATATTTTGCTGAGTAGAATGTATTCATAGATTCTTTTTTGTGTGTGATCACTTTTCTCTTTTCTGGCATCTAGCAGAATGAGCTATGCAGGTGAGGGTGCTTTCTGTGGCACCACCATATTTGAAGAGTATGAATTATCACGACCATCACATATTCCTTCTATTTTATGTAATACGTCACCTTCCGGCCCCGCGTGGCCCGCTAGGGTTGCCCTTCTATGTGCGTGCATGTTTTCAGCCTCAGGTAGGATCCACCGTCAGTCCCGTCCTGCCTGAGCACGCTGGAGGCCTTCAGAAGCTGTGCAGACAACAGCAACTTCAGTCTGAATCATTCTTTTCAATCCTGGACAAGCTGCCAAGAGGCGGGAGCCAGAAGAGCAGGCGCAGAAGTGGGAGGGACGGAGCCCGATGGGCGGGGCGGGCCTGTGGGCGTGGCCCCGGCCTCTTCGGGGCTCCGATGGGCGGGCCCCAGTGGGCGTGGCGGACCCCGGTGGGCGTGGTCGCGGGCGAGTTCAGGTGAGCCGCTCCTGCCCCGTGAGCTGCTCGCTCGTCCAGGTCTGTCTGCACCTGGTTTTCCTTTTCTCGACCGTGCGTTTCCCTGGACCGCTGTAACTTCAGGTAAGCAAAGCGCAGGTAGCAGGGCTTGGTGGTGTCCCTGTTTTGGACAAGTACTAAAAGAAAAGCTCTTTGAGATGATGTGCGATGGTGCAGAGTGGGCAGAACCGCATCTTTTCGCCGGCGGGCTGTCGGCTGCGCGTGGCCATCACTCCTGCAAGGGCAGCGTTTGCCGCGCCCGGTCCTTTGGGAGCCAGGCGTGCCATGTACAAGGTCAGAATATGCCGAAACGGCACAGCCGGGAGGTTTTGGTGTATATGGGGAGGGGAGCGGGCGGGAAAGAGTGATTTGCGGGGGAGAATTATTTCTGAGGACGTTTTCAGCCCTGCTTTGGAGCTCAGAAGGTTTTGCGGCGCTGGTTCCAGAGAGGGTGTGGGGCCCTAACCTGAGGAAGCGGAGACGCACGGGAGCGTCTGGCTGCCTTCCTGGCTGGCGCTGAGCCCTGAGGGTCAGACTTCGGAATCGCTCTTCTGCGCCTTTTAAAGCATCCAGTTTCTGTCCGTTTATTTGCACCTGCGTTCTTCCGGCCTGGAAGTAGTCTCTCCCCGTCTGGGTTTCAAGATACTTGCAGCGAATCACATATTTCCAGCGTGTGTTCTTGGGCAACTTTTCGAACAGGTTGGCTCATACTTTCTTCCTCAGGGAACCTACTGTGTTGATGGCTTTCTTTAAGCCTGTCACACTGAAGCGCGGTTAACAGGCCAGGCTGTTCTGTAGGCTCCTAATCAGGCCAGGCTCAGATGAGCATACCTAGGGGGTCTGACACATCCTTCAGGTCCCTGTCCCCTGTCTTGGAGTCCCTCAGCTGATACAGGGCAGGATGAAGTGGAATCCAAGCCGTCAGACTCATAGATCGTGGTCTTTTTCAGGTCACCATGAATTTTCTTTTCATTCTTTTGGCTACGCCCTTTGGCATGTGGGATTTTCGTTTTCAGTGCAGGGATTGAACCCATGGGCCCTGTATTGGAAGTGCAGAGTCTTAACCACTGGACCGCCAGCAAAGTCCAACCAGGAATTTTCTTAACAGCTCTGTCACCCCTACATCACTGAAGAAGAGGATTTGAATAAAACTGGGTGCATCCAAACCTTAGTTCCACCAGTATATGTAAGTGTTTAATAGTTTCCTGGATGGGCGTAGAGATGAAAGCTTGTCTGAAGAAAGGATTCTCCATATGAGTTGGCAAGTTTATACTTTTGCTTCCTAGCACCTGAGTTCTGCCAATTCAGTCCCTCTGGTTTGCGGGTTCTGTTTGAGGGTGTGGAGTCTCGGCAGTCTTGGTCATCCTGATGTGGCGAGTCTGGCCCTAGTTTATGGTTAGGCAGCAGACAGATGGCTCTGCGGTAAAGATCGGGCTTCTAAACAGGTGGGAGCAAATGTGATGGTTCAGGATATCTGCGAGAAGCAGAGGCTCCTCTCCATCGGAAATCAAGTATTAACCTTACCACTGAGAGTCACGTTCTTTCCTGCTAACAAAGTGCTTTTCAGGTTACTTACTCATTTCATTCAGACTCACGCTATTCTTTCACATGGAAGAAGCTGTGAGATCTCCTGTTTTCTTAATCTGGCTCTGACTTTTTTCCTTGTGAGGTTGGAAAGCAAACAGCAGAGACCGTGTTTTTATTTTTTATGTATTTTTTAGCCACACTGTGCGGCATGTGGGATCTTAGTTCCCTGCCCAGGGATTGAACCTTTGCCCCTGCATTGGGAGCTCCGAGTCTTAACCACTGGACCACCAGGGAAGTCCTGATACTGTGTTTCTAGACCTTCCATTATAGTTGTTGCAATAGACAAAATTTCTTAAGGCGTTGCCTAAGGACTGTCTCCACCAAAGGACCGTTATCTCATCCAGATGGTCTACAGATGAAAAGTCTGGGGGAATACTGGCTTGGATGCATTAGAAGTGTCAGAAATAGTGCAGGGGCTGATGAGCAGCTGTGAGTCTGGAGAAGCGAGTTCCCTGCCTGTCCTCACACCCACCACATGCCTCTCCATTCGTTGCTGTCTCTGAACGCTCAGTTCTCGCTCGTCCGCCTGGTGCATGGCTCACCCCTCTCTGCTCTTTAGGACCCCCCTTTAGTGTGCCTTATCAGGTGTCACTGTCTCTGAGGAGTCCTCGCTGAGATTTCTACTAGGAGTGCACTGTCTCGCCTAAGAGCTGCAGGATAACTTGTGCCCCCCGTCAAAACACCCATCGCGCCTACAGACATATCATGCTGTTAGGTGTCAGCTCTTTGGAGGCGGAAACCTGATTTGTTCATGTCTAGCGTGGTGCCGACACACACTGTTAGGTGCTCAGTTGATACTTATTAAATGAAAGCAGTGTAATATTGATAGTTTGCAACACTAATGGTAGAGAACAAGAGTTTCTTCCAGTAGGAAAATCAGGGGGAAAAGTTTTGTTTTGATTGAAAAGAAAGAAATCATGTAAGTTAAAAAAAAAGAAAAGAAAACATGTAAGGTATCTTGATGTCTCTAAAGGGGTAATCCAAGACATGGAGGGTTTTTGGAACTCTAAAGGCTCCTGAGCGAGCAAATGTCAGCAAAGACAATTACTGAGAAGGAAGGTGATAGGTGTGGTTAGGAACCAGGAGCAGAGAAGACGTAAGTGCTGGGTCTGGTTTGACCACTCTCACTCCCCGCGTGGGTGGCCTGGGAGAATCGCTTTATCTCTGTGTCCCTCCCTTCCCTCACCTTTAAAATGAAGAGGTGGGGCCAGGATCTTGTCTGCCTTTAAAGGTTTATGACTTTAGGACGTATTGCAAATAATAAAAACAAAACTGCAACTTTACAATGAAATTCTTAGAACTTTTTTTTATTGTGTTTGTATTACTACTATAACTTCTCTCACATTTCTCTGATTAAAATAAAAATGTCTTTTAAACTTTAGAGTGACTAAAGGATGTAGTGTCTTCCATGTTGAAGCTGTAAATGTAATCCTCCTTACTTGTTCAAATCATTAGGTTTTCATGAAAATGAAAGACATCTCTGTAATAATGGAATAACAAAATGAAGACTCTGCAGAGACTTTAGCACTCTGACCAGGTCATTTGATATGTAAATTTACCATATAGGAATTGCTAATCTCGATTCTTGTATCCTTAATTTTTTTTTTAAACTGGAGTATAATTGCTTTACAAAGTTATGTAAATTTCTGCTGTGCAATGACGGGAATCTGCTATATGGATACATATATCGCCTCCCTCTTGGGCTTCCCTCCCATCCCTCTCCCCCCATCCCAGCCCTCTGGATCCCACAGAGCCCCAGGCTGAGCTCCCAGCATGATTCAGCAGGTTCTCACACTATCTATTTTATCCATGGTAGTGTGTTTATGTCAAACTTAATCTCCCAGCTCATCCTGCCTGCTCCCAACACCCTGCACCGTGTCCACACATTTGTTCTCTCTGTCTGCATCTCTATTTCCACCTGGAACTAGATTCATTTGTACCAAATGAATCTAGATTTCATCATACATGATTTCACACACATGTGTTAATACATGATACTTGTTTTTCTCTTTCTGACTTACTTCACTCTGTATGACAGACTCTGGGTCCATCCACATCTCTACAAATGATTCAGTTTTGTTCCTTTTTATGGCTGAGTAATATTCCATTGTATATATGTACCACATCTTCTTTATCCATTCATCTGTTGATGGACTCTTAGGTTGCTTCCACGTCCTGGCTCTTGTATTAACAAATAGTGCTGCAACGGACATTGGAGTACGTGTCTGTTTTTGAATTATGGTTTTCTCAGGGTATATGCCCAGTAATGTGGTTGCTGGGACATATGGCAGTTCTAATTTTTATGGCATTTCCTCATGCAAAATGGTCTGCTTAGGAACCTGACTCATTTTCTTGTGCATGCTTTGCTAAAGTTGCCATGATTTGTTGAAATGCTTCAACTTGTAGCACAAGGAGGTAGCAATTGTCTGTGGCCAAATTCTTCCCTTGAACTATCTCACACCAGAAAGCTTAGGTCACTTGGAGCTAATTACCAAGCAACTGATCAGATTTACCAGGCAACATTTGACTGATTCCTTGTCTCTATGGCCAACTTAGATGCTGTGCGTGTCCTGATTTCCATTCTCCAGCAGGGACTGAATCTGAGCTTGGATTGCAGCACAGTGTTAACTATTTGTGTAACTAACTGTGCTTAAAGCCACCATGGTCTTGTATTCACACAGAGCCATTCAGGTGAGACAGATCTCAGAATGTTGTGGTTAATGAATGAAAGAGGCTTCCATCCTCACCCTTTGATCCATTTGTGGAATCCACATTTAGATGTTTGCAGTCAAACTTCCTCAGCAGATTACTCCAAGGCTTTAAACACACAAAAGATGTCAAGCTTTAAAGTTTGTTATAAATGATGCAAAATTATTCCAATTTCTCCTCTTAGCTGGTTGGAAATACATGTCTGGAAGAACTACTTGTGTTTGTTAAAACAACAAACACAAGTAGTTGTTGTGTTTTTATATTGTTATTAGTGTGGTTAGGGCTTCAGCTGTTGAAACTTTGAGAAGTTTGCAGGCATTTGGGTTTAGGTTTCTCTACTGGGTGAAGAAATAGCTCATTTAGCCTTTTCTATTTGGTAGATAAATAGCTCCTGTTGAATTTTGCTCATAGATACGTGCAGTGTTATTGTTAAAGTCACTGCTGGAGAAAGCCAGACTTCTTGTCCTGAAAGTTTGTTGGGGGTTCCCCAGACCTTTGAGTCTCCCTGAGAGGGACGCGTGCTTCTGTGTGTCTCACTGCCTGCTGCTCTCCTCATGGGGGTCTCCTTCCCCTGAGAGTTCACTCTCCTGTCACAGCCCCCGCCCTCCCCAGAGGAGAGAGAGAAAGGTACTAGGCCTTCAAGAAATGTAAGATCCCTGGTCTGACTTCAGGTTACCTTTTTTTTTTAATGTTTTTAATGTCTATTTTTATTTATTTGGCTGTGGTTGGTTTTACTTGCAACATGTGGGATCTAGTTCCCTGACCAGAGATCAAACCTGGGCCCCCTGCATTGGGAGCTTGGGATCTTACTCACTGGATCACAGGTTCATAATGGAAACGCTGGGGTCACTTGGCTGTACTTATTGGGCATGGGAGAAAGTAGTCACTGGAGAAGATCAGTGAGCTTGAATGGGGCAACAGAAAAGTTATTATTTTTTTTTTTTTTTGCTAATAAACTTGTGACTGAGATTTATTCTGATCTTTTAAAGTCTGCCCTACACATAAGCCACATGTCTCATAAAAGGGAGAATTCTGAAGAACTGTTTGAAGACCAGGGGCACGTTCCTTGATCTTAGTCTCTTGTCTTGGCATTTTGAATTCTGTTCAGGGGTAAGGTGCAAAGTTGAGATCCTGCTCGTGCGTTTGACTCCTAAGGCATCCTTGGCTCCTGACCGACAGAGCTCTCTGTGTTGAGTGGTGACGCTTCGTCCGAGGCCGGGGAGCACTTCCTGCCTGAGGACCTTGTGCGTCACGTTCGCTCCTGCTGTCTGAACACACGGCTGCACACTGCTTGAGTGCCTTGGGGGGATGCTTCCAGCCCTGATCCATGGGATGGTCATCTAAGGGCGATGACGCCCCTTACGTGCTATCCTGGGGTCGGGCAGGGCTGAGGGGTTCATGCAGCTCAGCTTTGCTTCTAGAAAGGACTGTGCCCTGACTGCTGGATTTACCCAGGAGCCTGCAGGCTTCATCAGTCAACATCTGCTGCCCCAGGACTAGACAGATAGGTGGATCTTTCATTAGCAGAGCAGTCGTCAAACTTTTAACCTCCAGACCTCTTTACATTCTTAAAAATAACTGAGAATCCCAAAGAGTCTTTTTTTTATGTTGGTTGTATCTATTGGTATTAAGTTACAAATTAAAGCTGAAAAGTTTTTGAAATATTTTATTAGCTCATTAAAAATAACAATATTGTAAGCATTACATAGTAACATGGGTAACATACTTTTATGAAAAATAACTGTTTTCTAAAGTGTAATAATACAAAGAGAAGAGTAACATCATTTTTCATTTCTGCAAATCTCTTTAACATTTGGCCTCATAGACGACTGAGTGACTAAACCACCACTGCCACCATAGTCTTTGGAAAACTCCACTGTGTATTTGTGAGAGAGTAAGAGTGAAAGGAAGATGCTGTCTAAGTACTACTCTGAAAATAGTTCCGACCTCATGGACCCGCTGAGAGGATCTTCGGGCCGCCAGGGGATCTGGAGACTCCCCCGGAGAGCCTCTGCTTCAGAGCAAGGGGTTCTCAGGCAGGACCGGAGGAGGCCTGCTGCTGCTGTTTCCCTTGTGTTGGACTTGTTCAGTCGCTCAGTCGTGTCCGACTCTTCTTGGACCCCGTGGACTGCAGCCCACCAGGCTCCTCCGTCCATGGGATTCTCCAGGCAAGGACACTGGAGTGGGTTGCCATGCCCTTCTCCAGGGGGTCTTCCCAACCCAGGGATTGAACCTGGGTCTCCTGCATTGCAGGCAGATTCTTTACCACTGAGCCCTGGGCTCCATATTTTTAGCTGGAGCTGCCCTCTCTCTCTTTAACTGGAATCACACAGAACTGCTGTGACTTGACTGTTTTTGATGGTTTAACCTAAATCCTAGTTGAAACAGTATAGATAAATAACCAACTGATTTTCATCAGTGTTGACGATTGTCCTGACTACATGCAGAGAAGAGACATCCCCGCTGACAGTTAATCTAATTAGTTAAACTAATCCCACTCCTGACAGTGGCCTTTGTAGCCGAGTGTGCCTTAATTTGGAGGTTCGGGGCAGAGCTATCCAGAGTGAGGACCTCACGTCTGGACACTCAGACCTCAGGACGTGGAGGAGCCTCTTCACCGCTGGCTTTAGATTTGCATTTATAGGAAGTTCCTGCCTCTCTTCTACCCTAGTCTGTGACTTCGACTACGATTCTTATTGGGTTGGCCGGATGCAGTTGAGGACACTTGAAATATGCTTTAGAAATAACCTCTCTCTTGTCCTTTGTTCCAGGCCCACAATGGAGGCCCTGCGACTGGCAAATTCGGCCTTTGCAGTTGACCTGTACAAACAGCTGTGTGAAAAGGAGCCGGCGGACAACGTCCTCTTCTCTCCCATCTGTCTGTCCACCTCTCTGTCACTTGCTCAAGTCGGTGCCAAAGGGGACACAGCAGATGAAATTGGACAGGTAAGGCCCACAGCTTGCCTCTGCTTTGAGTGGAAAAGAGTAATAAAAATGCACAGGTGGTACCTGGGGAAAGGCAGTGAGGTTCTGTGGTCAGATTTGCTCAGGGTTGAGTATTTTGCCATTTCTAGCACTCTCTCAATTTACTTTTTAAATGTGGAAGCTTGTTTATCTGGCCTGCAGCTCACATTTAGAATAGGCACTATGTTGTGGGGGAGAACCCGGGGATTAACTAGACAATCAAAAGCATTTCCACTAACAAGTGGCCTTTGACAAGTCATGTGACATCTTTTTACCTGTTAGAATGTAAGTGTCAATCAAGATGATGTTTGTTAATGTTCCGCTGCAGATACCCCAGCCGGGAAGAGTGTATATCTACACCCTCTGTCTTACGCACAGAATTTGTTTATAGCATCATGCTTTCTATTAAGATGCAGGCTCCCCTGTATTCTACTCTATAGTATATTCTACCCTATTCTATATCCCTCCTGGATAGATAGAATATATCCATGCTTATTTCAATGGAGAATTTACACTTGAAATTGAGTGGGACTTGAAAAGGAAACTTTCTTTATGGGGAGAGGAGCTTCATCTTTTCATCCATCTTTCTCCCGCTGCACCATCCCTACCCCATCTCCCTTTCCTCATTCCTCACCTGCCATTAGAGAAGAGACAGAAAAGAGCCTTTCTGGTCCTGCACCTGCTCCTCAGTAACGATAAGGGCCTTTTCTGTGCATGCTATTGTTCTCCTACACTGGTTACTTGGGCTCTTTAACTTTCTGGTCTGTGTGCCTGTCAATAGGTGTGACAGTAATGTGGCACTGTGGGCCAGCCAATCTGACCCTGCAGGACTGAGGCTGTGTGCCTCATGGGTGCAGTGTGCCTGTAAGTGATGTCACCCGAGGTGTGGCATTGGGGCTCGGTTATTATGGGTTAGGAAGGGGAGATGTTATCCTCACGTCCTGTTTCGGGCGCCGTGGAGTGGAGACGATGCTGGGCTGTTGGTTGGAACAAAAAAGTTAGGAATAAAATAAAAGGTTTTAAGCCTGCCTGAAAATAGCATCCTGGTTTTAAGTGGCTTATTACTATAAGAATAATTATTAACATTTTGAATCCATATGATATTTTAGGTGTTTTACAGATAGTGCTGTAATCCTCATGGCAATTTAGACAACTAGGTGTTGTTAGTCCATTTTGCAGAGCAGAAAGTGAAGTTCTGAGAATTGGGCAAGACATTTCTATTAGGTACAGGCTGGGATGAAACGCAGGACTACTAAACCGTAGGCCATAGACGGCATGGAGCTGCCTACCTTAAATGACGCCATCAGCTCATTTGGCACTAGTTAGGACACTGAAGGAACTCCGGAGACACCTGTATCCCGAAATCTGATACCTGCCTAGTGATTGTCTCTTGGCATTAATTTCTCTTTTCTTGTCTCTGAATTGGGGATAAATTTTAACCTACTTCCACCTTTTCCAAGTTTGGAAAAAAGCATAGAGGCATCATTCTGAAGAAAGGGCAAATTTTCCTTATAGTTAAACCAAGAGACGAGTACCTTTCTGCCGGTGTTTCTCAGCTGGGGACAGTCCGCCCCTTCCCTCCCTCACCCTCTCAGGGACACTCACCGGTGACCGGGGACACGTCTGTTGCCACAAGTGGGAGAAGGCGTGCTGCTGGCATCCAGGGGGTCGGAATGCCCAGCACTGCCCCCTGCACCCCTCCCCCTGGAATTAGCCCGTCTGAACTGCCAGCAGCGCTAAGGTTGAGAAGCCTTGCTCTCTGGGAACCACAGAGCACCATGGTCTCTGCATCAGATGGTCAGGCCCCGTCCCCAGGAGGCTGATCATTGCCCTGTGTCCACCGCCATGGGGGCAGGCAGCGCTTCCTGAGTAATGGGGATTTTTTTTTTCTTCACAGGTCCTTCATTTTGAAAATGTCAAAGATGTGCCCTTTGGATTTCAAACAGTAACATCGGATGTCAACAAGCTGAGTTCCTTTTACTCTCTGAAATTAATCAAACGGCTCTACATAGAAAAATCTCTGAATCTTTCTACAGTAAGTGACTCAATGCAATTAGCAAGGTTCAGCTGTTTACCAAGGGTGACATTTTCTCATGGTTAGACCGACAGCTTTTCCTCGGATACTCATTTATGATTTATTTAAAATAAATTAATCCCAGGGGAGAGGTTGAATACAGTGGGACTCGCAGTCACATATTTTAACTTAAAATATAGAGGAGCCATGAGCTTCCTTTTCCCTCTTAAACACCCATAAACCTCACCCTTTCTCTTATCTTCCTCACTGAGAGAGGTGGAAAATGGGGTTACTAACTCTCTTAACAAATGCATCTCTATAGATATAAGACAGCCTGTAATTTAAACCTCTTTCTCCTTAAGCATAGGGGCAGGTGACCCTGGAAAAGATTTTAAGTTCTTTAGCTTGCTTGTTCATGCATACAGTGTTCTTCTGATGTTTCCCAAAATCAGTAAAAAAAATAATAATTGTATGAATTGACAGTTTTCATCAGTCATGGACTAGTTTTGTTTGTTTTACCAGGCTGGCCAGGTGGGTATCCATACAAGGCAGTGGTGGTAATTTTAGCTGTTTCTTGAAGGAATCATATAAAGAACACTGAAATATCCTTAAATTTGATACAGAGTGTATCATAATATTTTAAAAATATGCACTTGAAACATGTAGCCAACTTCCTCAACTACAGAGATGTTCATTCTCTACTTTAGTAATATCGAGTTCAGTTTGTGTTTGGATGGTCAGAATTTCAAGCTTTCCAAATCTAAAAGGTGGACTACCAACTGGTAAATAAAAATATTTAACTAAATATTTTGCCCTAGTTTTACTATCTTCAAATATCTTCAATTTTCTGGCAAGGATCTTTTGGGGACGTAGATCACTAGATACTGTTGTGAGTTTGTTTTCATTGATTAAAGACACACACACACAACCCTTCTTCCAACAATAACCTGGGGGAATTAAAGAAATACTAAGATGTGAGCCCAAGAATGAAAAACATTAAAAAAAAACCTCCCTAGGTGGTCCTCAAGGATGCTTAAACACATTTTGTTGCTGGCAGTGAAGACAGCGGAGGCCCTTTCTCTTGCAAGGTCTCTGGAATGTTCTAAACTCTGTGAGTAAATGGTAACTTAGTCCCAAGGTTGGGTTGCAATGAACACAATCCAATTGGCTAAGGCTCTGACTGCTCTAAAAAAAATCCAGGGAGTCCTGTACTCAGAAGTGAAGTGACATGGTATTTAATCAATCTGTGTTTAGTTTGGTTGAACTTCCATTCAACATTTCGAATTATTTCAAACAAGGAGTTGCAAGCAATTTTTTAAAAGGGTACTTTCCATTGCTTCTGCGGGTTGTATGTCGTCCATAGATTTACTAGCAACAGTACAAACAGGTGTGGTCTGTGGAAAGCCAATTACATCACAACTACCTGGTGCTGAAAATGTGTATCCTTGGCTTTGGGTCACTTGAATCAAGATCTCCAGGGATGGGATTTATGCTTTTGCATTTTTAACAGGCATTATAATTAGAAACACTGCTCTGTTCTTTGCAGCACTGTTTTGAACTTTAATGCACAGGTGAGTCATCTGGGAATCTTCTTAAAAATTCAGATTCTGATTCAATAGGTCTAGGGTGGGGCCTGAGATTCTGCATTTTTTCCTAAATATTTTTTTATTTATTTGGCTGCACTGGGCCTTAGTTGCTGCATATGCAGTCTAGTTCCCTGACCAGGGATTGAACCCAGATCCCCTGCATTGGGAGCATGGAGTCTAAGCTGCTGGAACACCAGGGAAGTCCTGAGATTCTGCATTTTTAACAAGGTCCCAGGTGATGCTGCCCATCTTGGTCCTTGGACCAGACTTTGAGTAGCAAGCATCTTTAAAATCTTTATTTCAGTGTGGGTTAGATCCTTCTTCTCATAGAGTTCTCTTTTCTGTGCATTTCTTCCATTCTAAAACATACATATATAAATTTACATTTTTGCATTTCTGAAATTGGAATTCATGTAATTGTTGTGTGTCTTTAGCATAATGTTTCTTTTCTCCCCCAAAGAAAGAAATTGATGGAGGCATTTAATAATTGTATTGTCTTAGAATTGAACAAATGAAGCAATGCAAAGAAAATTCATTGATTTTTACATGAAGTTTCAATTTATATTGTGTTACAGATTTTGAAAGGGTCTCCATAGTAATAGACATTTAGAAGTCCTTGTGCTAGAATTGTGTAAGAACACAATGGTTTGACTACAGACTTTAAGGACTTCGTGATTTTATGAATTGGATGTTTTTTAGGAGTTCATCAGCTCCACAAAGAGACCCTATGCAAAAGAGATGGAGACCGTTGATTTCAAAGATAAACTGGAAGAAACGAAAGGTCAGATCAACAGCTCGATTAAGGAACTCACAGATGGCAAGTATCCTTTTATTCTGCTATAAATCTCTAAGGAAATCGACTGTGTCTTCTCATGAGTCTGTTAACTATAAAATTGAACATCTGGAGGGTCCTTTGAATGTTTTCAGTACACAAGCTGAATTCTTGTGCACCAAGCCGTTTCAGCCATGTGGGTTTCTGGGCGTCTCCTGCCTCAGGTCACGAGTTGGCTGGAATTCCAGATGCTTCGGTTTTAGTCTGCCGTGTCGTGCCCTGGGACAGGCTGCCACAAGCCCTCCTGGAGCCCCGGCTGTGCCTCTAACAGAGGACAGCTCCGGGCGGTTTCCGAGACTGGTTTTTCAATCAGGAAATGAAGGGCCTGGACTGCAGACTGATTATCCTCGAAGCTACTTTCAGCTCAGAATGCTACAAGTTCATTAAGGAAAAAAGACGGACGGCCTTAGGTTGTCAAAAAGACTATCGAAAAAGCGGAACAAGACAGGCCACCACGGTGCACACTTGTCTCAAGCCTCCATCCCGGTCGATGCTCTAGGTAGCCCAGGTCCCGGGCCTCTTGGCAGCGCAGGTGCTGCCTCTTGCTCAGCGCTTCCCTGAGGCTTCTCCCTTTCTTGGCTCCTCCCTCAATGAAAATTCTCTGTGAGTTGTCTTCCTTGCTAGAAAGGAATCGGAGCTAAGATGATTTTGGGTGCAAATCGGTGTTCACGTCCCCCTTCCTGGGGACATATTTGTATTTGTATAAGGAGAGATCTGCGGGGGACACAGCGCCTCATGGGTTTTTCGGGTGCTCTGCGCTCCCCAGAGTCTGGGGAGGGACGTGTTTCTGCAGCAGAGACTCACCGCGGTGAGGTGGCCCCCTGGGCACTCTGACTCAGGAGTGACGGGGCCGCTGCTGTAACCGCAGGCTCAGCTGTGGGGAGGACGTGGGCTGGGAGTCGTTCAAAGCTAGACTGAAACCCAGACACTGCCATTATTAACGGAGGGACTTGGATGTGGAGTCTCAGTTCTGTATCAGTGGAGCGTATATTGTCTAACATGTTCACATGGCTGTGTGTGTGCTAAGTCACCTCAGCTGTGTCCGACTCTTGTTGACACGTACTTGTTGTTCAGCTGCTAAGTTGTGTCTGACTCTTTTGCGACCCCATGAACTGTGGCCCACCAGGACTGTAGCTTCTGTCCATGGGGTTTTCCAGGCAAGAATACTGGAGTAACTTGCCATTTTCTCCTCCAGGGGACCTTTCCATCCCAGGGATTGAACCCACGTCTCCTGCATCTGTAGGCGGGTTCCTGACCACCGAGTCATCTGGGAAGCCCGTAGTATGCCCACACACGAATGTGTACATCGACATATATCTGTCGTTGAAATGAACTTTCTTTGACTTCGTATGTAAAGAAAGATCTGGTCTAGGTAATACCAAGTTAGGCACAATTTTAAAATGCATACATGAAGAACAGCTCCCATTTGGTTTGCTGTGTAACAGTTTTGCTTTTAAACTTGTTAACAACTTGCATTTCTCTCCGGCGGCCTCCATTTAAAAATTTCCATAAGCTTGAATTTTTTACTGGAGAAGGTAGTCAAGTGAAAAGACTTCTGAATTTGAAATCAGAAGCTGAGGTCTAAGTTAACGCACTGATCATTTGGGCTTCCGTGGCAGCGTAGTCAGTAAAGAATCTGCCTGCAGTACATGAGACCCTGGCTCCATTCCTGGGTCAGGAGAATCCCCTGGAGGAGGCAGCGGCTCCTCACTCTGGTGCTCTTTCCTGGGAAATCCCGTGGATGGAGGGGGAGCCTGGCGGGCTACAGTCCATGGGATCGAGAAGAGTTGGACAGGACTGAGTGACTAACAGACACACCCCACCATTAACTAGTTCCCTCCTTCTTCAGTGATGCTGTTATGTAGTCAGCGCATCACCTAGAACTGGCAGAATGGGTTACAAAATGTGCAGGTCCCAGTGCAAAATGAAAACCCAGGGCCCTTGGTTAAAACCTGCATTGAGAATTTTAAGATGGCGATGAAACCCCTGCCGGTCCCTGCACACCTGGTCACAGCTTGGGAAGGGGGTCTGAGCCGTGGTGTGAAGATCTCAGAGATTAGGGCAAAGAAAAACCCTTTGCAAAAATGTCAATGCTTTTCAAAAGCGAAGACTTTATTAAGGGATTGTCACCATCGAACTGCTTTGGCTGTTGAGGGTTTGAGCTCCGTGGTAGTTACAGTTGTTATGGAGCCTATGGTGGTGATTATAGCTGCCCTGGGTGCAGACACACTGGCAATAGGGCAATTTGAGGAGGAGGGGTGGGAGCTTCGGGGTAAAGAGGAGAGCTTTGTCTGGGCATCAAACGTGCTTGGCAGCTGAGTGAACCAGGAGAACCACCTGGCCTCTCTGAGCCTCAGTGTCCTCAACTGTGAAATGGGGATGATGCCCTTTGCTCTCCAGGATCATCGTGAGGGAAGTGAGATGAGACACGTGTCAGCACTGAGCGCAGGGCTGGGTGGAAAGTAAGGTTTCTGGCATTTTTCTCCATGTGCACAGGCTTTGGAGTCACAAAGAACTGGCTCTGAATCCTGAATTCCCCACTGCTCATGCATCATCTTGGACACGGGACTTAACAGGGAGTCTTCCTCGGCATGGAGTAGACACCACGCAGTGGCTACGCTTTCCTCCTTCTTCCCCTGCTCCCCGCCACCCTTCTCCCCGGGGCTCTTCAGAAAGGCTGGGTGTGGCGGGATGGAAGGAGGAAAGGGATCCTTTTGAAATGAGATGGGCTGGGCTACCAAGCCACATTATAGGTGTGGCTCTAGCCAGTGAGTGGACTTGCATGTGGACATCAGAGGTGGTTTGGAAGAATAACCCTGTGCAATTTGTGGTTTCCTAAAATTGTTTGCAGGCCACTTTGAGAACATTTTAGCTGACAACAGTGTGAATGACCAGACCAAAATCCTTGTGGTTAATGCTGCCTACTTTGTCGGAAAGTGGATGAAGAAATTTCCTGAGTCAGAAACCAAAGAATGCCCTTTCAGAATCAACAAGGTATGTGGGCTGCATGTAGCAGACAGAGGATCCCAGCTGTAGGTCTGAAAAATTGCAGCCATGCACGGGACCCTGGGAATTCACTCTGATGAGGACAATTAAGGCGCAAAAGGTTATCTTTTCCCAAGACAACAGCCAGAGGGTGAGAGTAGAAAAAACTCCATAATCCAGACACTCATTCTTTTTCTGGGATGTCCTCAGGGTCTGAGTAAGATCTTACAGAGCTTAAAATACAGTGTGTGGTTAGTCTCTCAGTTGTGACCAGCTCTTTTGTGACCCCATGGACTGAGGTCTGCCAGGCTCCTCTGTCCATGGGATTCTCCAGGCAAGAATACTGGAGTGGGTTTTCATTCCCTTCTCCAGGGAATCTTCCTGACCCAGGGATCGATCTCAGGTCTCCTGCATGGCAGGCAGATTCTTTACCATCTGAGTCACCAGGGAAGCCCTTATAACATAGTGGTTAAATCTAAATCACCAACCAGAAAATAGCTACAGATATTTGGGGCCATTAATAAGAAAGGAAAAGAAAAGAAACAAACTAAATCACAACGTCAGAGGTCTTTGGATCATCATGAAACATAAGTATTTGGGAATCTTATTCCAGGTTAACAAGTTCCTCTGTGGTCTCATTTCTCACCTGTTAGCAGTAAAGTACATGGTTCTGATATTTTAATTTAGAAAGTGCTTTGAGGTGCTTGCTGACCGTGAAGGAGAAAGCGTAACTTACTCATCTCCAGGGCTGGGAGTCATTATGGGGAAGAATTACAAACCTGCGTTGCAGGGAAGTATAGTTTTAATACTGTTGAGTGAATAATGACGTCATAGACCTGAGACTGGAAAACTGACCGTTTCGTGATGAGGTGGGAGACAGTGGGCCTCTGGGCTGGACGCCTGGTGTTTGTCACGTGGAGTAAAACTGAGCCTTTGTTCTCCCCCAGACACTCCCAAGGACAAAGCTAGTGGCAAAAGCTGAGCTCTGCTAAAGCAAAGGGATAAGGTGCCCACTCCTGAGGTCAAGGACGTCTTCCCTGCCTGCCTGTGTGCAGGGGGGCTTCTTGGGGGTTGAATAGGGAGGGGACCCCACCCCATAATAAGTGTGGCCATACACCCATAGCCCTCTCTGGTGGGATCCATTTTAGAAGAAAAGTTGTACATGCATCTTGGGGAGGTCCATGGACCAGTCAGGTGCGGAGAAAGAAACAAGGTAATTGGCCAACGGTAAACAAAGGCGGGGGTGGGGGGGTGGGGGGGGTTCTGTCGCGTGTGAGTGACTTGCATCACTTCACTGCGCCCTTCTCGCTCAGGATGTCTCCGGGGGTCTCTGCCCAGCCTCTGACTCACTTCACGCCCCCTCATTGGAGAGGCGCCGATAGATACCCTTTCTCTCTGGGTGTGCGTCTCTGCTGTGCTTCTGAGGTAGAGAAGCAAGCTGTTTTCTTCTTTACTCACCCACACAGTTGTAGTGTGTCTCTAATAATAAACTTTGTATCCATTTTTATAGTTTTTGCCTGCTTGAAACATTCTTGCTTTCAAACAGGGGCAAGAGCCAGGCTGACTTTCCTCCTACCCTCTAGCCCCTGGTGGTCTAGGGGCCAAGACTCTTGGTTTTCATCCAGGTTCAGTTCAGTTCAGTTCAGTCGCTCAGTTGTGTCTGACTCTTTGAGACCCCATGAGTCGCATCCAGGTTACCCAGGTTTAATTCCTGAGCAGGCAACTAAGATCTCTCTTCAGGACCTCTCACTGCTCTCCCTTCAAGATCAGAATTACCATATGGTACAGCAATTTCATTTCTGGGCATGTATCCAGAGAAAGCTCTAATTTTTAAAGACATATGCACCCCNGGGGATCGGGATGGGGAACACATGTAAATCCATGGCTGATTCATGTCAATGTATGGCAAAAACCACTACAATATTGTAAAGTAATTAGCCTCCAACTAATAAAAATAAATGAAAAAGAAAATTCCTGGGCAGGAACTAAGATCTCTCCATAGGATCGCTCACTGTTCTCCTTCTGAGGTCAGTTAGAGGACCTGGGAAACTCCAGAAATTTTTAGGATGGTGTGATTTGGTTTTGTTTGATGAAATCTGGCTTGTGATAAGAACACAGACTCAGAACTGCATGTCAGTCAGCAACACAGCGGAAGGAAGCCTATTCACCCCGTGGCCCCGTGACCGATTCTCGTTTTCAGGTCTCTCCTAGAACCTACAGCTGTTGTTCAGTTGCTCAGTTGTGTCTGACTCTCTGTGACCCTATGGACTGCAGTGCACCAGTCTTCCCATTCCTTCACCATCTCCTGGAGTTTGCTCAAACTCATGTCCATTGATTTGATGTTGCTAATGGTGCTTCTCATACTAGCTGCAGGGCCAGCCCAGAAAGTCATCAGAATCCTGTTATAGTGAGTGAGTTCACCACGAACTCTCATGCTGATTGGGCTCAGGTGTGTGGTTTTACATTTAAGAAAATGTTAATGAGTATTTTTACAAAAGGGGGGAGAATGTGTACAGTTCCTTTATTCTTGTTATTAAGTCATAAAGCTAGGTTGGGTCACCATCCTGGAGTCTTGGACTCTAGAAAGAGAATTAATAAGGATTTAAAATGCCATTGATCTCTCAGAGGTTCATCAAATAAAACACTATTCAAGGCTGTGTGGGGCTACACCCTGCTTTTGAATGTAGAGGCTATTACATTTCCTTTGAGTTGCTTTTGTCAGCTCCTAAACTTTTGCGTGATGCTACTAAAACTTTTCTCATGTCCTTTGGTTTTATGTCTTTAAAGGGCTAGACTAAATTGATGAAGATGTATTATTAAAAGTTTAGTATAATACCTCTTCTGGCAAAGATGAACACACACACACATGCTGTATTTTCTGGGATGGTTGTTACTTAGTCTTATTCTCAGAGACATGTCTTAATTTATATTTTAGAAAATGGGATGTTTGTTTCCACAGTCAGTGCTGAAAAATGAAATAGATGACAGTTTTTGGTGATCACAGTTTTTGTGAATTCCAAAAATATTAGTAATTTAAACTAATGGAGATTTTTAGACAGATCTATATCTTCTTTGAGAAACAGAAGAATTACAGTTAATTGCAAAAGTAGTATTTTTAAAAAAATCATAATTTTGTTTCTGGTTATATGTTGAGTCAAAGTCTTCAATTATTTAATAACAACCAAATGTTTAGTGAGCAGTTATTCTGTGCTGGGATATACCAAGGTATAAAACATGGTTCCTGCTTTGACTATAGTCTGGATGGGGTGGGGGATGTCACATACACACAAATGTCTTTTTTAGAAGTATTTTCCCCTTTTTTGGCATTTACACGCTGCTAATTATGTATTTATGGGTTTATGTATTTGGTTGTTTATGTATTTATGTATTTGGTTGTTCTGGGTCTTCGTTGCCGTCCTCGGGCTTTCTCTGGGGGCACAGTCCCCTCACTGCGTGGCTCCTCTCCGTGGGGCGCAGCCTCTAGGCACTCGGGCTCCCGTCGCTGCAGCGTGGGGACTCAGGAGCTGTAGTTCTTAGGCTCTAGAGTGTGGGCGCAGGAGATGCAGTGCGAGGGCTTAGTTGCTCCTCGGTATGTGGGGTCTTCCTGGACCAGGGGTCAAACCCACGTCCCCTACACTGGCAGGTGGATTGTTATCCGCCAGGGAAGTCTTACACACATGTTTCTGACATTGTGACAAGTGTTAAAATGGATATATGTAGAAACAGTAAAGCAAGTAAGGTCTAGTTTGCTTGAAAACAGTTTTGGGTAAGATTCAGCTTACTGTTGAAGATGCCAGATAAAAATTTCACTGTACTATTATTTCTGCAGACTTGATATTTGAAATTTCCCCCCAAAGATATTCTGTTAACAGGCAAATATCCCATGAGAGGTACAAACCCAGACAGTAAGTTGCACTAAATTCCTGTCAGTCTTTTACTCCCTATGTGAATTAGTTTTCTCGAGAAAATGAGTTACCTCGTGGCAGAGACGCAAGGTCAGATATTAATGGGGACACAGAGAAAAAAAGGCCTGGGGTGCTGCCTGGAGAGAAGGCCTGTGTGATCGGAGCTGTAAATGACTTTGAGATAATTTTATTTGTAAACATTCTTAATTTTTAAAATTAGGAAATATTTCAAGTGTACAGTAAATTATAGAGAATAATATAACAAACACCAATGAACCAACAACCACCTTTGTAAAATCTTTATATTTTGCCTCATTTCAGATATTTTAAAGGAAAAGTGTAGCCAGAGTTGCCCTGTCCTGTGTAGCCCCCTCCCGTCTCCAGCTCCCCATCCCTGCCCCTCACCTTCCCCCCAGAGGGATGGCCATCCTGACAGCTCCAGTTCTCATGCTGCTGACAGAGAAACTGAGACCCAGGGAGGTTACAGAGACTCACTGAAGGTCATGGCATCTGTTCATGTCGCATCTGAGACCGAAACCCGAGGTCCTCATGTCTAATCAGATCGGAGCAAGAAGAGGGGATGGGGGGGTGATGAAAACCACAGGCAGACAGAGGACTTGGTGAGCGTGATTTTGTTCTGCTATATGCTGACTTCTCCATAATAGGCATTTTATGAGGAAAAGCTATGTAAATGGATATGTGGGTTTGCTCTGGAACTGACTTTCAAGTGAGCTCCACCAGCAACAGTTAAAAGATCTTGTAATTACAGGCATCTACAAAGCCTGAGTTAATGTTTGCTTGTATTTCCAGTCATCCTATCTTATTTTTAAAGTTTTACATATGCAAATACAGTATCATATTATGTATAGTTCCTGTAGTTATAAAACACATGAAGAACTTTTCAGAGGAAGTCATAAACTCTTGACAGGACCATCTCTGTCAGTGTGGATCCCCTGTGGAAGCTTTAACCCATAACAACTTGAAGCTATATTAGGAACAAAGTTATGTGGTGTGTGTGTGTGTGTGTGTGTGTGTGTGTGTGTGTGTGAAAAGCAGGCAGAGCAAATTTCTTCTCCTTTTACAGACAGATACCAAACCAGTGCAGATGATGAATCTGGAGGCCACGTTCTGTATGGGCCACATCGATGGTGTCAACTGTAAGATCATAGAGCTTCCCTTTCAGAACAAGCACCTGAGCATGCTCATCCTGCTACCCAAGGACGTGGAGGATGGGCCCACGGGCCTGGAGCAGGTGAGGAGCGCGGCGGGATGCAGTGCGCAGGCGCAGTGGCGCCAGGAGACGCGTGGGCGGCCTTGCGGGGCTGCCGGAGGGCGCCCGCTAGCCTTGGCCAATTGTCTCCAACGGTTTCAGGGTTCTTTTGGGGTTTTTCTCCTCAGTATTAAAACAGCTAATATTTATTTGGTACTTACAGCGTGCCGGGAACTGTGAGTTCACACGCGCGCTGGTCCTCTAGTTCTCGCTGCAGCCTCAGGAGTTAGAAACCCTGAGTGCTGCGTTCACCAGGGGCCGCAGGCACAGCGGGCTCGGCAACGCCTGCACCGTCACAGACTCGAGTGTAGGGCGTAGACTCGCAGAGTGAGCCCAGGAGACAGCCCCTGCGTTCTCAACGTCCTGAGCTCCAGGCTGCGCTGTGCTGTTCTAGCCACTGCGGCGCGTCCGACTCTTTATGACCCCACAGACTGGCTCACCAGGCTCCTCTGTCCATGGGATTCTCCAGGCAAGAATACTGCAGTGGATGTCCTTCTCCGGCGAACCTTCCCTACCCAGGGATCGAACCCTGGTCTCCCGCGTTGCAGGCGGATTCTTCACCGTCTGAGCCCCGAGTAGTGCCTCTTTGAGGAACCTAGGAGTCACTTCTTTATTTCGGACCACAGCTCAGTTACTCCCTGACTCGGGAGATGGGCCAGCTTGGTCTCAACCTCCCGGGTACTTTGGTTCTCATTATATTTTATCCATCACTGTATGAACTGAATCATAATTCCTGTCTCCATTTTCCTTCTGTCCATTCTTCTCTCTCCTTTTTATAGTCCACCAGGTTCCTCTGTCCATTGGATTTCTTGGGCAAGAATATTAGAGTGGGCTGCCATTTTCTTCTCCAGGATCTCTTCCTGACCCAGGGATTGAACTGGCATCTCTTGCATCTCCTGCATTGGCAGGCGGGTTCTTTAACCACTGCACCACCCGGGAAGCTTTGGTCTTAATAATTTGTCTTAAATGAAACAGTATCCATGAAAAATACTTATCATAGATTAGCAAGAGAGTCCAATGGTTCCCTCCCCCATTAGAAAAAAAAAAACTGGTGATCAGTTTGTGACCTTGTCATCTCCTTGATTTTTATAGGTTTCATATGAGTAACTTCAGTGCAGATTGCCCCATGTAGTAACAGTCAAGATATTATTCTCTGTTGTACATGCATTTCTCCTCTAGCCCCTGCAGAGATTGGAAGGGCAAGGAGCAATTTAAGATTTGTCAATGAAGAATTTTATGACTAAATCATTTTATGCATCATTGCATATATCTCTCTTTTTAAAAATAACCAATTGAAATGGATGCATTTATCACCTATGGTCTTAAAGAATGACCCTAGACAGTTCAAATTCTCATTTTAAAAAGGGTAACTTTAGTTTAATTTATTAAATCTGATGCTATTCCTTGGGCACAAATATTCTAGGTTTCCTAGTAAAGGAATTAAAATAAGCTTTCAGTAAATATAATGCATAAACAGGTTTCTAATTTTATATTTATTTCACCATTATCCATACATCATCATAAACCATGGATTCATCTCTATATAGCTCTTCTATAGTTAAAAGAAATGCTCTCATAAGTTTCAGAGCAAAGGGACCATTGTCATAAGGTGTGCAGGAGAATGATGCTAGGTGGCTTTGTGGCCATTTTCAAGAGAACCTCATCACACACCAAAACTGCGGAGTCAGTGCTGTCTTTGATGGACAATCTGTACTACTTCCAAATCAGGCCCTCAGTGACACTGTATGCTTTTAATCGAGCAGTATCTTTTACAGTTGGAAATAAAATAATTTCCTCTGCTTTTTTGTCCTTCAGGTCGAAAAACAACTGAACTCAGAGACGCTCCTGCAGTGGACAAATCCCAGCATGATGGCCAATGCCAAAGTCAAACTCTCCATTCCAAAATTTAAGGTGGAAAAGATGATTGATCCCAAGGCTAGTCTGGAAAACTTAGGGCTGAAAAACATCTTTAATGAGGATACCTCTGATTTCTCTGGGATGTCAGAGACGAAGGGAGTGGTCCTCTCAAATGTCATTCACAGAGTGTCCTTAGAAATAACTGAAGATGGTGGGGATTCCATGGAGGTGCCAGGGGCACGGATCCTGCAGCACAAGGATGAGTTCAATGCCGACCACCCCTTTATTTACATCATCAGGCACAACAAAACTCGAAACATCATTTTCTTTGGCAAGTTCTGTTCTCCTTAAGTGGCAGAGCCCGGGTTAAGTCCCACCCAACTTCTCTGCCGACTCTGCGGCTAGAGAATCATTTTCTAAATATGATAAATTGTTAATACTGCTGGATCAGGAAGCCACTGGTACTCACCCTAAAGACCTTTTTTCCAACCTTTTTTTGGGTTTTTGTTTTCCTTCCCACTCCTTTAGAAGATGGTGCTTTAAGGAATCACCTTAGAGAAAAAAATTCGTGTTCATTATTTGTCAGACAATCCAAAGTTATTGGTAGGAACACAGTCTTTCTCAAAGAAAATTCCTCTAAGGAGGATCTAGATGATTTTTATTACCAAAGCTTAGCCGTCCCTCTCTGGGATGCAGAATGTTCTAAACATCCTCTTTTTCCTGGGACATGGGCGCTGCAAAGCTTTCCTGGCATGAATGAGACTTGGGGACAGTACACCCACAGCTCCTTATGCTGAACATAAGGGACCAATATTTCCTTCAAAGTCTGACTTTGGGGGGATTTTAGAAAGATAACATGTTGCATATACTGTATGTTATGGAATTCCACTGACAGAAACTGGAGCAGCACCCTATAAATCAACACCTTAATATTTCTGCCGTAAAATGTAGAATATTGGTGCAAAGTAAGCAAAGACACTAGGTATCCCCAAATATCAGGTTATGCTGCCAAATGAGCGTCTCCTGCTTACGAAAATACTTTGTTTTCAGAACTTTGTGGAATTTTGGAGAGTTGGACCTGTGATAACCCAAGGGCAGCACCTCAGTGGGAAGTTTAGATCTTCATAAAGCTTCACTTTAGAATAGCACGGCGGGTTAAGTAGAGTTCCCTGTGCTAATCAGTATGTCCCATCACTGGTCTGTTTTATGCATATTATCAATAGTGTATATGTGTCGGTTCTAATCTCCTAATTCCTCCCACCCCACCCCTTTCCCCTTTGGTATCCACTAGTTAAGAATACCATATCCTATATTTGAAAGTTGCTAAGAGAGTAGATCTTAAAAGTTCTCACCACACACATGCAAAATTGTAAGAGGGCGAGGTGATCGATGTGTTAACTCACTTTGTTGTGGTGCTCATTCTGTAATGTATCACAGATATTCAGTCACTGCACTGAACACCGTAAACTGGCGCAATGCTTTATGTCAGGTATATCTCAATAAAGGTCAATAACAACAGCAACGGAAAAAGATGGAACAGATCGCTGCAGAATAAATAATTTAAGGCTAACTTAAAAAAAAAAACACTTCCACTTTTGATAGAACGCCCACTTGGTGGCTGGGTTGGCAAGAGACCGACCACTGGCAGGAAATTCTAACCGACTCAAGCTTGTGGATGTCTGACCACCAGGACTTAAATGCACCCGGACTCTCACAGTAGCCAGTAAAAGGATGCTACGTGTGTTGAAGGGACTTGTGTCTTCTTGTGATTTAGTGGGAAAGGGGAGGAACTTAATGCTGTTAGGACAGGTAACTGAAAATGCTCCTGCTGCCTCAGTATGTATTTTTCTCAGGGTCTACAGGTTTAGTTACTGTACACAGCTAGTTGGTAACGCACAACAATTGCATGTTTTTAAAGATGTTTCTGAGAAGTTACCTGTGTCACAAGTTCAAGTGTTAATTCACTGCAGAAAGAGGGTGACTGGAAGGTTTGAATTTGGAAGGACAGCAGAACTCCTTCCCCACCCCCCAACCCCCACCGGCTTCATTGTAAATAGGTTCAACTTTCTTCTTGCTCTGAAGGCTCAGTATTGAATTCCTTTTATGCTGTTGAAAATAAAATATTATTGAATTACAAGACTTGCTTTTTCCCATGAAAGTTAGATTTTCTATTTTGAAATAGAACCAAGCCAACCACTGACAAAATTTTTTTTGTGGGGGGGATTGATGTAAAGTGAACAGAAATAAGAATAATGACTGCCCCTATTTCTGGTCTTCCTTCCTGCCCACCAGCTCTTGCTTCCTCCTTCCATCCCCTTTCATCCTGGGGAGGAAAGGACCAGGAAAATGGTAGATTAACTCCCAACTGCATAAAAGTGTTTAATGAAAGCAGGGTCCTTGCAGGAGGCTGTGGAACTTCCCTCCAGCCTTTTTCACTTTGGGCCCTGCCTCAAAATGTAATTTTATTGAGTAAGCTGTGTATGCCTAAAATGTTTTCTTATTAAGTACTCTTCCCGTCCCAATGTCATATACATTGTTTTAAATCAATTACCTTGTCTCTGAACCTAATATTCAACACAGCCCTTTTCCTGTCCCGGCAGAGTGCTCCAATAGAACGTGTCCACACTTGCAATAAATGCTGAGTGCAAAAATGGACAAATGCCCCGTGTTCGCAAAAGAAAAAGACCATTTGGGCAGGGTTTCTGGGGGTGGCCAGAGTTGGGTTTTATCACTCTTGGCTCATTATCCCTCTTCTCTAGGCTGTGAGAAGGGAAGTGGGGGATGACTGTGAAACATGCTCCAGGAGCATTTAGAGGAGGGTAGAGAACAGTGCTCCTTCAAGCCAAGTAAGTGTTCATGGAACTTAACGTGTCTCCTGGAATTTAGAGAGCACTGACATTTGGGATTAACTCTTGCCTGGGAAAGTCTAATGCAGTGACCGCAGTGCGTGTGCGGAGCTGCCTGGTGATGGCTGTGTATGAGAATGGAGCATCCACAGGGACTTCCCTGGCAGCTCAGTGGTTACAGCTCCACAGTTGCACTGCTGGGGCCGTGGGTTCGATTCCTGGTGGGGGAACTAACAGCCTGCACAGCCAAAAAATAGAAAAAAAAAAAATAGCATGCATGTGTTTACACAAGTTTCTGAGCCATAGATTATTCAAGGGTGCAGCTTCAGGAGATACTGACAAGTAGTTTTCTAATGTGTTCTACCAGTCCCTCTCTTTTATTACTATTATTATTACATAATTATTGTCGCTGCTGCTGCTAAGTTGCTTCAGTCTTGTTTGATTCTGTGCGACCCCATAGACGGCAGCCCACCAGGCTCCTCCGTCCCTGGGATTCTCCAGGCAAGAACACTGGAGTGGGTTGCCATTTCCTTCTCCAATGCATGAAAGTGAAAAGTGAAAGGGAAGTCGCTCAGCCGTGTCTGACTCTTCTTGACCCCATGGACCGCAGCCCACTGGGCCCCTCTGCACCTGGGATTCTCCAGGGGAGAGGACTGGAGCGGCTGCCATCGCCTTTTTTCCAACTGTGACTCTTATCAACGCCACGGCCATTCTTCGAGTAATTATGGACCAGGCACTGTGCTAGGACATATATTGTAATTTATTATATATTATATTTCTATAATTCTATAATATAGAATTATAATATAATTCTGCTTCCACAACAGTCCTGTGAGGACTCATTCGAGGTTAAAGGAACTGAGGATCAGAGACACCAGGAACCTTGTGGGACACAGAAGGCTAGGAAGTTGTGTTGTTAGAATGTAAACCTCAGCTCTCTGATTTCAGAGCCTGTGCTTATAATCTCTGTGCATTTGGCGGCTAAACACCTTTCACTTGGCATTGTATGATGTGGCCTCCCAGGTGGCTCAGTGGTAAAGAATCCACCTGCCAGAGCAGGAGATGTGGGTTTGATCCCTGGGTTGGGACGATCCCCTGGAGAAGGAAATAACAACTTGCTTCAGCAGTCTTGCCTGAAAAATCCCATGGACAGAGGAGCCTGGTGGGCTACAGTCCGTGGGGTCTCAAAGAGTCAGGCACTACTAGGTAACTGAACATTCACACATTACACGTTATTTCTGATATGTGTAATCTTAAAAAATGGTGCAAATAGTCTTAGACTCACAAATACAGAGAACAAACATGGTCACCAAAGGGGAAGCGGTGGGAGGGGTCAGTTAGGGGTTTGGGATTAACACACACACACACACACACACACACACACACACACACTACCAGGTATAAAATGGATAACCACATGAAACGCACAGAAAACTGGACTCAATGTCTCATAATGACCTATAATGGAGAAGACTCCGAAAAAGAATATATATATGAGAAAACCGTATACATAACATATATATATCTGAATCACTTTGCTGTACCCCTGAAACTAACCCAGCATTGTAAATCAACTGTATTTCAGTAGAAAATTTTAACAAATGCCTTGTTTACATTAAAATGAAATATCATGTTAAATACAAGACAAATGAGTGTAGATAAAGAGAAACCTTAGCTAAATATTTACATAAAAAGCAAGTCTTCTAGGACTGTTTACTTTTCGAGCATTCCTGGTTAGCTAATACATTTTTTGAAAATTCTGAGCTTTTCCTTCAGGGGTCATATTCAGTCAACTGTGTGCCATTTGCTATTAACATCGGATCTGAAAAGCTTCTCTTTTTTCAGTTTTAGCTCTTACACCTGAAACTGCTTCTCAACGTTCTTGCCCTCAGCCGCACCCCGTCCGGGGAGGATTCGGGCTGTGGCTCCTGCCCCCGGCGCGTCCTCCACAGGACGGCAGGGCTGCTCCGGTTTGTGAGGGCTTTCAAGCGAGGGGATCAAAGTCTTCCACGGACAGGGAATGATCATTCCTGACCCAGGGCCTGCAGCAGAAAGGGCAGCTGACCTTATTCACCTCCACCTGCGTGCTCGGTTCTGTGCGACTCTGCGACCCCAGGGCTGCGGCCCTGCGGGCTCCTCCGTCCAGGGATTCTCCAGCAAGAAGGCGGGGTGGGGTGCCACGCCCTCCTGCAGGAGACCGTCCCCGCCCAGAGAGCAAATCGCAGCTCTCGCTTGGCAGGCAGCCTCGACTCCAAGGAAGCGGGTCTTCCGGCGGCGGTTCCCCTCGCCGCCCACCAGGCGGCGCTGCATGTCTCGCCGTCTCGTTGCTGCTCGCGGTCTCGAGCCCAGCAGCGTTTAGGACACACCCACTCGGGCCGCGCCTAGAGCCTGCCGCTCCTGCCTCTCGGGGCGTTCCTGGAGCGCTTGCTTCCCCTCGCCTGCAAGACCCAAACTGCAGCCTCCCCCGCCCGCTCCCTCCGTGTTGATAGTTCTTAGAGTTTTATTCTGGGGCCGCACACAGCTCGTTCGTGAGGTCATGCCTGGCTTCAGTTGCCTGGTCTTCCTGCTGAGTTCCAGCCGCAGATGATGCAGCGACTCTGTGAAAACCTGCTTGTGCCACAGACACACTCAGTTACGGACCCGCACGGAAGGCATCTTCCCTTCTTTTCTCTTTCTTAGTGTAGGACCTGAGAAGGCAATGGCAGCCCACTCCAGTGTTCTTGCCCGGAGAATCCCAGGGACGGGGCAGCCTGGTGGGCTGCGGTCCATGGGGTCGCTAAGAGTCGGACGAGACTGAAGCGACTCAGCAGCAGCAGGGATGCAGGACCACACCACCCACCCAGAGGTCCACACTGGACGCGTCTAACTTCCCACAGTAGTTCCCTGCCTTCATTCCACACGACCAGTCGCTGCCTCCCGTGTCTCAAATCCATCTGCTTCTCTGTTGGTACTCTGCTGATTCAAACTCCATGTCCCTTCTCTGAAAACTAGAAACAGATTCTTAAATTGCCTGCTAGTTTCCTTTCCCTTCATCCATTCATATTGCAGTCATTTATATATATAGATGTATAATCCAGCTCTCTGTGACCCCATGGATGGTAGCCCGCCAGGCTCCTCTGTCCGTGGGCTTCTCCGGGCAGGAACACTGGAGTGGGTAGCCTTTTCCTTCTCCAGGGGGTCTTCCTGACCCAGGGATCTAACCTGTGTCCCTTACGTCTCCTGAATTGGTAGGTGGGTTCTTTACCACTGCCGCCACCTGGGAAGTCCGATATAGTAGAAAATGACAGCCCACTCCAGTGTTTTGTCTGGAGACTCCCGCGGACAGAGGAACCTGGCGGGCTACAATGCATAATGCCGCAGAGCCGGACATGACTCAGCAACTGAGCATACATGCACACACATGGGTGACCCTGGCGGCTCAGCGCCAAAGACTCCACCTGCCACGCAGGAGATGCAGGGAGCATGGGCTCGATCCTTGGGTTGGGAAGATCCCCTGGAGGAGGGCCTGGCGGCTCACTCCCGTGTTCTCGTCTGAAGAGTCCTGTGGACAGAGGAGCCTGGTGGGCTGCAGTCCACGGGGCGGCAGAGTCGGACGCGACTGAGTGACCAAGCACGCGTACACACGTGCACATATATGTTCTTTAGAGACAGACTGGTAGAAAGGTGTGTGTAGGCACTTCGTTTATGTGATGTCTCCCCCTCACCCCTGTGTGAGAGCCACGGGGTCAGGCGTCTCGCCCATCTTGAATTCTGCAGTACCTCTCTGTCCACACGGAGCCTAATACAGAGTAAGTGCCCAGTAGGTATTTGTCCAGTGGACGAATTCACTACTGACACTAACTGTAGCCGGAGGAATGCTGTATGTTGGTTGTCTTTGATGCTGGTTGTATACGCTGCTTACAGGGCTGGGGGTGCTCCGGGGGACGTCATCCAACGTGGATTTCCACCCTCCTCAGTTTGGTAATAAACATGAAGTCTGTTCTTTCTGATGACTAAGGACCCAGTCCCCTGGGGGCTGAGTGTATGTGTGGGTGCGTTGGTCACTTACCTGTCTCACAAGTCAACCGTTAGGGCAGGCTCTCACACTGAGCGGCACGAGGACACCCATAGCTTCTTTCTTTTCCCGGGTCTTTCGGGCACTGTGCCTGAATTCCAATAGTTGTGCCACTCCTCAAGGGACATCGGTAATGTAATCTTAAAGCGTTATGTAATTAGGACAGGCAACTCATTAACTCTGAACATATACAAGCCCTGACTGGTTTATCTGATCATTTTACTTATCATTCTTTGGTATCTGAAAGTGCTGGTTTGGGTGAGGGTGTGTGTGTGATGAGCTTGAATAGATTGGGGACAGTGTGGGGGAGCTGGGCATCTGGATGCCCAGTAGAAGATGCTTGAAAATGAGAT